TATATCATATACTGAAAATCTCTCATTGTTCTGAAACACTCCTTTCTTGGTGCAGCTTTTATTTTCCTACATTTGAATAGCGAGATGGGAAAAGATATACTCTTTTTCTTCTTGCTACCATTGTATGGAACTCAACGGTGAAATTGTGATAAAACAAAAAATGGCATTGATACGCCGTATCAATGTCTAGAAACAACAGGCAACTGCTGTTGCCAGGACTATCTGTGGTAAATAGGACAGCAGTGTCCCATTTAACAGGGACAGTTGCTTCAAAGCTTGGCCTCAGTACTACCAACCCATCCTGTTTCACAAGTGAAGCCAGGAATCTGAATCTGGTCTCAATTTTTAAATGCTGGCATCAAACTCCCATTTAAAACAACAACAATACTGTGTGGCCAACATCCCAGGCAAGAAGTGGTCTCCCACGTACTAGTTTTCAACTTCAGTATGGATAGAGGCTGAGGTTTTAAGCGGACAAGAGATTGCCCTGGGAGAGGGCAGAGAATTACAGGGGAAAAAACAAAAAACAAACAAACAAACAAACAAACAAACAAACAAAAAAACCCCAAGCACAGCATTCAGCTGGGAAAGGACCATTCACAGAGGAGTAAAAAGGAGCCAGTAGGGGCAGGGGAATTCCCACAGGAAAAACTTGGGGTGAGATTTCCAGGCAGGAAGAAAAATTAAGGAGTCAAATGGTAATCTCTACAACGCATCCCATGGATTCCAAAAGGGAGGACTGCTGGTAGCCTTTGGGCTAGACACTTGGGTTCAAAAGTTCTGCATTAAGCATGCAACTAAGAAAGGGAAATAGATGTTCCCCATCTAATGCTTTCATAATCAGTTCAAATGAAACAATGCACAGTGCACCTCAAGTCTATGTCTGCTTTTAAAAGGCATCATTGTGTCCAATACGAAGTGATCCCAAACCTAAGGTGGCCCCCACTTCTTATTCCAGTGGGAAGGTCTTGGCCCTTAGAAAAGAGGTTTAGGAAAACACAGAGATAGAATATTTAGAAATACAGTGGAATTATCAAGTGACTATTGCTCCTCTGTGAAGTTGCCTCAGCATCATACTTAAGGCCATGTGCTCAAATGTTAGCATAATTCATTTTAGAGATGTTGTTTCTGTGCCTTTATATTTCATGAAACAATTTTATTCAAGTCTGTTAAGGCAGAACCAAGATGGCTCTCTGAGTACAGTGTTTCCAGAGGGACAAGAGCTGTCCACTGGGCTACGATATCTGTGATGAGCACTTTTTGAATCTCCATGTGACATAGTCTTGCTAGAAATCTTATCCTAAACCATAAGCACCATTTAAAATCTCTGTAAATTAATCTTTAGTGAATTGTTTTCAGTCTCTTAGATTGTTGCAATTGCAAGGCCATCCAGAAGTTGTGATTATAGGCACGTGACGTGGCCCTGCTTCTGTTTCTACCAGATCCTAGACATGCTGGGTGCCTTTTAGAGTACCCAAAGTGACAGATGAGTGACTTGAGTCAAGGTTAATGCATGTGCTGTTAATCTTGATGGTCAACTTCACTGGATTAAGAGATTCATGGAGAGGTAACTGGATTGAGAAGTCACCAAGCTCATCATGGATTAAGCATTAACGAGTCCACAGCTGAACGGGCTCTTGGGAGGAAGGGCTTGGTTGGAGAAAGTGAGTCACGCAGCTCTGACCTTAGGGACCACATCCAGTCCCTGGTCCCTTCTCGGGGCTCTTTCCCTGCCGTCTGCTTCTCAGATACCATGAACTGAGCCACTTTCCTCCGCCACACCCTTTCACCAGTTTCTGCCTTGGCATCAACCAAATATTGGCTGAAAACACAAGCCAAAATAAATGCTTACTCATCTAAATTGTGTATCTCAGATATTTTGTCCCAGGAACAAACAGCTGACCAATACAATGTGAATGCGTCTTCTCTCACCAATATTTTGTTGTTGAAAATAAAACAGTTGAAACTGCGCCTCCCTAACATGAAATATTTGTGAGGACTCTTTAAGACATTCTTTTCTAAAGATAATTAAGATATATAAACTTGACTTCTACTCAAACATATAACATAATTTCAAAATAATACGTAAACAAAGAAAAACACTACTAGCAACAGTCCAAACTGTGATTCTGTGAGAATTGATTGTAGAGCAGTAGCACTATTTAAATCTAACACAAGGCCACAGTTTGTTTCAAGTGAAATTAAGCTTCTTCGCCAACAAAGAATGGAAGTCACACTAAGTCATTAAAGAGAGATTTGGTTCAGAACAAATATTATTGAGAAAAACAGATTAAAGAGGCATGGCAAAATGAAGCAATTACCAAGAATAATAAAACTGAAGAGTGTGATTCTGGGGCCACGAAAGCCTAGTGAACAACTTAAATGATTAGGAAAATGTTATAAACAAAAGAGTAAAAATAAGAAAAGATGCAACAGAAAAAAAAAACAACCAACTTTTAATATCAGAGAAATGTCTTTCAATCAGGGGAGAAAGTGAAAAACTGTATTAGGAAAAATAAATTTCTATCTTCCCACCCACTGTGTCCTAGAGCAAGCAATTCCTAAGACTTACAAAAATGGAAAGAACAAACTTAGTTAACAGAGGGAGGGTACTTGCCCATACAGCAGCCTTTTGTCCAGGTCTCTAAATGATTTCAGCGATAACAATCTGACTATCCTAAGGTTCTGGGACTAGTCAACAGAGAGGTGCACTGCAAGAGTCATTCAGTCTCTTTTGGCTTTGTTTATTTCTACTTCCTGTTTTGTCTTGTCAATTATATCTGAAAGAAGGAGAGGACTGCTTTTCTTCTTAGTCTTTAGGGAAAAAGTCTCTAAAGTCTACTTTTGGTTCCATTTGTGCTTTTCTAGACACTCTAGCTATGCAGACCACGCTGGCCTTGACCTCATGGCAATCTGGCCTAGGTCTCCTGAGTGCTGGCATTGCAGGTCTAGGTCGCCACACCTAGCTTAAAGTCACTTTCATCAAGGTACAGTCAGCCCTCTAAATCAGTGGGTTCTGCATCCTCAAATTCAACCAATCTCAAATCAAAAAATATTCATGGGGAAAATGTTCATCTGTACTGAACGTTTTTTGGTTTTTGGTTTTTTTTGGTCATTCGACAGAACTACACAACCAGTATTTCATAGCACTTGCAGTGCATTAGGTATCATAAGTAATCCAGAGATGATTTGAAGTGCACAAAAACATTTGGATAGGATCCCATGGGTGGTGTCCACAGGGGGCTGGGGAACCAATTCCTTGAAAATACCAAGGGAAGGCAACATTTACACTAGTGTGTGGAAAACTTGTGGACAAAAATGGTCATAGTAGTTTTACTAATACTTTCCCCTAACTGGAAGCACCCAACACGTCCCAGAGTAGATGAAGGGACCAACAAACTCTGTTATACCTGAATGTTCAAGAATACACATCCCAGTATAACAGCAATAAGAAGAAAAAGAGATAAAATCACAGGAAAACCTCAAATACTTGTTTCTAAGTAAAAGAAGTTAATATAAAAGTGCTACACGCTGTATGACTCCATCTACTGTCTATGATATTCTGGAAAAGACAAACTGTGGAGACAATTAAAAAAATCAGTGGCTGGGGCCGGTGAGATAGCTCAGCGGACCAAAGTACCTACTTAGGCAAGCACAAGGACCACAGTTCAGTCCGTGGTACCACATGCCACACAGGGCCCCTCCTTCTGGGAGCGCTGAGCTGGCTGGAGTCTG